ACTCGTCGTACATATAGTTCTGAATCATGCCATGACTCTCACCATAGAGTCCGGTCACTATTGAGTACCAATTGGGGTAAGAATTTGCCGGAAATATTGGTTTCACATATTTGGCGGAAACGCCGTTTTCTGCGATTTTGCGGAAGCCTTTCAATGTCTTATCGCGCGACACATAATCCCATCGAAAGCCATCGACTAATATAATCAATAGTTTGCTGCCCTCTTGACTCACTTGTGGAGTCTCTTCTTCGTGAGAATCACTTTCATCTTCACTGCCTTCGTCGGTGTCCTCATTCTTATCATCAACTTCTGGAGTAGTTATCTCATCCAAATCACTCACATTATCGTCGTCCTTATCATCTACTTCTTCCTCGTTTTCATTTGGATTTCTTTTGAATCTATTGTTAAAGTCGTGTTCAAAGTCTAAAATACTTTTAGCCAAACATTGATTCAAAATAAATACAATAAAACAAACTCTTAAAACAACTTGAATTCTCATTATTATCGGAATACACTTTATCTAAAGAGCACCTGAAGTGTCACAAAAGTATATCACTTATAGTCTGTTAAGCGATATTGACTTTGAATACGAAACGTCTGAACAGAATTTGGCAGAAATCCCAAACTTTCTCTACAACTCCTCCTTATTGTAACTGACACTCAAAGAATGCTAAAGTATATCACTTATAGTCTGTTAAGCGATATTGACTTTGAATACGAAACGTCTGAACAGAATTTGGCAGAAATCCCAAACTTTCTCTACAACTCCTCCTTATTGTAACTGACACTCAAAGAATGCTATAAAAAAGTTTTCTCATAATTAAAAGTCATTAAAATTGACTGCTTTTCAAAACTATCCAATTTTTATTTTGATTGTAATTAAAAGTTTCCTAAAATATCAGTACATACTATGTAAATGTTTCTGTTAAAAGTAGACACTTTTGATCATTTAATTAAAATTGACTTTTTATGCCAATAGCGGATGTGTAATAAGTTACTAGATGTAATGTAAAACTATTATATATTTATTTAGGAATATAAGTAAATAATGAATTATTTCTTAATTGTTATATATGTTTCAGTCTAACAGATCCTAAAACAGGTAATTTTAACTTATGGTACATACTTGTAATATTCACGTTTTCTAAATTTATATTAACAAAGGATAAGTTATATAAAAAACAGATAATTTAGATAGTAAAATACGATTTTAAAAGTAGACAATTTTTCAATTTAATACGATATTTTGTAATAGACGATATAAAAATAAACACATTAACTAGTGCTTTTATAATTTATTTATTTTATTATAAATATTCTCATTAAAAACATATTAATATTCTGTAAAAAAATTAATTCTAAGAATAATAATTGATGTGAAATGTTTACAAAATAAAGTAAACGTCTCTCATCTCACATGACATAAAACTAGTAAAAACTAAACAAATACTTTTAAAACACAAGTGACAAGAATACTGAATACAAGGATTGAATAGTGAGCCCTATTTCCACTACTACTCACTAACATTGCTTTGGCTTTAGCGTCGGTTCCGTTATTGGGAATGGGATTAATGCCGAGTATATGACAAAACAAGTTGTAGTGATCAACCATTGATATCCAATCAGAGGTGTAGTTCTTCTTGAGAGCCGGTCCGAAGCCATACATTATGGCCCGGATGTCAGGCAAAGTCTCGACACTATAACCATGGTTTCCTCCATGAGGTTTCTTTGGTGGGTCTCCATAAGGATATACCACTCCTTCCAGTCTCGGCTATATATCACTCATTTAAAAGTTTTCATAAGTATTATAATTTATTTAATAACAAATATAACTATCATATACTAACCGCAGCAATAGTGTATCCAGCATCAACTGTAACCATAAGTGGCAAAACTAATGAATTGTGTTTATAATGAAATGTCTCCGGAATTTCGTCCTTTTTATATACTTTTATGCCTTTCACTTGAGTTAAGTTTTTATAAATCTAAAAGTAAATATAATTTAATAAAAATTAAGAATTTTAGCTAATTTTATCACAAATCCAATACCTCTTCCTCTTTGCCGGGTTTGGCCACAATCTGAGCCCCGGAACCGCTTCCAAGATATAATTGTACAGAATTTTTGAAGTCTATGACATCTTTCAATTCAATTTGTTTGAAGTCATCGATTTGAGTCATTCCATGGTCTGAAACAATCACT